TGTCTAAGGTTTGATACAAGACAAACTAGTCCATTATTGACTCCACAGTTATTGAGTTTTTAACCCTCTTTTTTGCTCCTTTGTGTTCAATTTAACTGTAACATTGTTGCTCTTATATGTCGCAATTGCATCGTGTATTTTGTTTGTATTAGCTATTTGGCTTTTGTACATTACTACGTGTATATATTTATTTGTTTTGCAATAGCCTAATATGGTATTTGTAATTTTTACCTGTCATATACTATTGTTTCATTATCGATACTGGGAACTTGTTTTTTTCGGGTATATTTAACCTTATTTGCTATTACATATATGTCGCAATTGCATCTGTATTTCATTTGTATTAGCTATTTGGCTTTTGTAGGCTACCTTTCTACGTGTACATAATTCTGTTTATCAATATCTTTATTTGTCATATGTAATTTTTTACCTGTAATATACTATTGTTTCATTGTCGATACTGGGCACTTGTTTTTTCCGCGTGTATTTAACGTTATTTGCTATTATATGTCGTAATTGCATCGTGTATTTTGTTTGTATTAGCTATTCGGCTTTTGTACCTAAGTATATATATATAATTATTTGTTTTGTAATAGCCTAGAATGGTATTTGTAATTTTTTACCTGTCATATACTATTGTTTCATTATCGATACTGGGCACTTGTTTTTTTTTCGGGTACATTTAACCTTATTTGCTATTACATATATGTCGCAATTGCATCTGTATTTCTTTTCTATTAGCTATTTGGCTTTTGTAGGCTACCTTTCTACGTGTACATAATTCTGTTTATCAATATCTTTATTTGTCATTTGTAATTTTTTACCTGTAATATACTATTGTTTCATTGTCGATACTGGGCACTTGTTTTTCCGAGCGCATTTAACGCTATTTGCTCTTATATATTGCAATTGCATCGTGTTCTTTGTTTGTAATAGCTATTTGGTTATTGTACTTTACTATTTTATTGTTGGTATTTAGCCTAGCCTACATGTTTTTTTGTACTGTTTTGTGATATAAATGTAAGTGTTCTCATTCGAATAAATTATTTTTATTTAGCAAATTTCGTTTACATTATTTTTGTTTATTAATCTAAATCGTTAGTTGTGTTGGATAACAAGGTAGAAGGTGGAAGATTATTAAAAATTGTGTTTACCTTTGGTAACCTAATAAATAATTTGTACACATATTTTGTCAATGGCACTATAAATATTCATACAAACCATCAGAGACCTAAATGTTTGCTACAAAACTTAAATAAATTACTGAAATATATTTTATATTGCGTTGTCATCCAGTTATTTTTTATGTTTAAAATTTCTAATCTTGCTCATCTGGAAGTTAATTGTAAATTACTGTAGTTGCAAAAGTTTTACAGAACATAATGAAGAGAAGTGAGTTAATTCAATCGTTTTATTAGAATAATCCTTAGAACCATCACGATAGTGCAATTAAATAAAGGCTATTTATATATAATAACTAGCTGACCCGGCGAACTTCGTATCGCCTAAGTTATAGGTTTCCCCTAAGACAGACCGATGGAAAGAAAGTACCGTTACGTTTAATTTTCAAGATGATCTAGTTCGCATCGCTCAATCACGTCCTGGTTGAAGTTCGTTCGCTACGCTCACTCACCTTTGGGTTGGAGCTCGTTCGCTACGCTCACTCACCTTTAGGTTGGAGCTCGTTCGCTGCGCTCACTTGCCTTCAGGTTAGCTCGTTCACTACGCTCACTCGCCTCCAGGTTGAAGTTCGTTCGCTACGCTCACTCACCTTTTGGTTGCAAATTAGCTGTTGTCATAAATGTAAAAGAAATAATAGTGCTGCACCCTGTTGGTAATCCTTGTAACTTTAATGCTATTGAACATCATAGAACAGAACCAACTTGTTTAATTGAAACAGCTGTTAAGATTCATTAATTCCATTTCTCATAAGGTTAACATGGGAAACTCCAGAGCCACTGGGGCGGAGCCCTTTTTAAGAATTTCGAAACGGGAAATAGTTTACGTCCGATTCGCATACCTACAGAATTTACACACCAAATTTCATAACGATCGGTGAAGTCGTTCCGGAGGAGTTTGCAGACAAACACTGTGACACGAGAATTTTATATATTAGATTTATTGCAAAATAGCAAACTATGAATTATCGCGACTGAGGATGATAAAGATTATAAAAACAAATACGTCATATGTTAACTTAAAAACACTACTGGAATAACATTTTATCTGGAAGTGGAATAAAGACAACAGATAACGAGGTAACGCAAAACGTTGAATTAATACAGTAGTACTATAATAGTGGGCATTCATTGAAACGCCAGTGAGTGACAGCGGCTGCGGCAGCCTCGTTCAAGGTCACATATGCCGCGACTGTGGAATGGCGGGACGGGGAGAGCGGGAAATATGATGCGCCCGTCTAGTTACAGTTGACTCAAACTGGATAAACTTCTCCCGTGCGCGCTGAGTTGAAGACACTAGCGCTACCAATAGGCAGCGCTCCAAATTAAATTTCACTTAATGCTACCTCCGTAAGCGTCAGCATTCTGGGTAATAGAAGTATATTTTCTGTGATTTAATGCTTACCAGTGCTGTACATGAAAGTCAAAAAAATGCTTGGATGGATGGTCAAATTTTTAAGCAGTGGTTTTTCAACCATTTTGTACCTATTGTAAAAACATTTTTTAAAGAAAAGGAATCTCCCACGCAAGGCCGTATTGCTTCTAGACAATGCCCCCTCACACCCTGACTCTGACAATCTGGTAAGTGGAGACATTAAGGCAATATTCTTGCCGCCTAATGTTACTTCACAAATTCAGCCGCTCGGTCAAGGTGCTCTTGAAACGATCAAGAGTAACTATCGAAAAATACTGTTGAGCTACTTGATTGAACAGTTGGACGAAGGAAACACTGTCCCTGCAATTTAGAAAGCAATAAACATGAAGAATGTTTCTTACTGGGTTGCCGAATCATGGGACAATTTGGCAGATAGCAGTCAGGGAATCATGGAGGAAGCTTTTTAGGATCCAAAAATTAACAGAAAACCGTCCCTCTAACGATGGATAAAAAACTGACGAAACCGATGTCAATGAGCTTATTACACTAACAAATGTTTTGCCTACGAGTGAGCCAGTTACTCAAGAAGCGTTGGACTGGGTAAACGGAGACGAAACAGATGAATTGACCAAGAACAACATCGTAAACGTTGCAAATCATGATGAGTGTGAGGGAGATGAAAATTATGCTAGTGACAAAGAATCAGCCGAAGCCGAACGCATATCACACACGGACGGACTGAACACATGGAGCAGCAGCACGAGGCCATGACGTCAGATGTACTCTTCCTTCAGCGATGGCGGAACATCGTAGCCAAGGAAAGAGGAGCTAAACCTTGCGAGAAAATCATTTTAAATTCCTTTTTATGTTTTTCTGACTAATTATAAACTCGGTTGGATTAACAGTGTTATGTAACAAAAGAGAAGAAGAGCAATTTCATCAATTAAGTAATGTAAGTGTTTCTTTTACGATGTTTTATCATTACTAACCTTAAATATTCTCAACACTTTCCGTGTTAACCGAGTTTGTACGTATCCGAGGTGCCTTTGGTCCCAACTACCTTGGGTAAGCGGGACTTTACTGTACTTATAAATTGGTGTAAGATACTTGGATTTTTGCGACCCAGTGGATTGTGGTATTGCAACCAGTTTCAACTCACATTGGGAGTCATCTTCAGGCCGGTCATGATGTCTTGTCGCTTCATTTTATGAAGGTCGTTAATTGATAAAAATAAGGCACGCACATTAACAAATTTAAATCTGAACATTTATGACGGTAAAAACAAAAAAAAAACACTGTAAGGTACGGTCTAGACATAACTTCCGCCCGATCACGTCGTGTCCCGTAACAAATATCAATAAAAAAGCACAAAATCACTTTTATTGTATTCAAAACTTACTGCATAGCTCATGTCATGATAGATTGTTAAGATATTACCACGGCCACAGCCTTAACGGATCACCATAAATACGGAATAAAGTTATAAAGTTGTCACAAACATAGGAGGTAGTCTAAATCAGGGCTCTACAATCTATGGGCAGCGGGCCACATACGGTAAAAAAATTTTATCCGGCCTGCAAAGGCCTACTGAGAAATAATTATTTTGATATGATGGTATACACTGATGATCCTCAAAGTGCAGCAACACTTGTGAGCATATCTTGCAGTCTTGGCAATACCACGATTGCCACTCAGGGACACGGCAATACTTGTGAGTGTGTCTTGCAGTCCAAGCAAAATTATGATCATACCCCGCGGTCGCGACAACACTCGTGAGTATGTCTTGAGGTCTTGGCAATATCGTTGACTGCATTGTAAACATCTATTGCGGTATCAGTAATACTGTGATGATCTCCAGTAATGGCGATTCCAGTGATGAAGTTTAAAGAGACCAATGGAATGCTGTCAATTAATTGACTCTTATTGGCTATTTGTGTCTATTGTGATCCCAGGTCATTACGAAATCCAAGAACAATTCTCAATGACCAGGTGTTTGGTTTAGTCTAAGCATCATTCCCACAAAAAACGTAAATAATTTTAGATAGGTAGTCAACAAAATAAGTATAGGCAAATACAAAATTAGCAAGAAAATTTCAAAATCACCTCTGAACTCTTAACTAGAAATCTACCTCGTAGCAATTTGGAAGGGGCTTCCATTCTACACTGAAACGTTTCCACCTTTCCTCCAAAAATTTACAATGCGGCCCATGAGTAAATAGGGTTTGAGAACCCGGGTCTAGATTCCAGCATAGCCCAATTACAGGAGGGAATTAATTTATCATAACAAGTACATTACAGTACACTTTCAGTGTTTCCTAAGCTGAGCTATATAAACCATTTGAAAAAAGCTAATATTTTAGAGAGAAAACTTTTGTACCTCACCAAAAATATTGGGTGTGCCAAATTTGCCTTACAAATGTATGAGCATGCCGAGAAGGTTTACTTACAGTGTGAATCATTTCTCCTTGTATGCCGAGAGGATCTTGGTTGATCGCGATGACTCGTTTGTTCTGCAAAATGTGTTTGAACTCTGGCTGTACATTTGCAAGATCTGTAGACAACAGTAGAGGAGCTGCTAACACAGCCCATACTGCCATCTGGGCCTCTGATTGCCACACAGTCAGACCAAAGTTGCCAATGATGAGCTGTAAACACACAATAGTGATGAACCATTGACAATACTGACGTAGACAACAAACAGTAGAGGAGCTGCCAACACAGCCCATACAGCCATCTGGGCCTCTGATTGCCACACAGTCAGACCAAAGTTGCCAATGATGAGCTGTAAACACACAATAGTGATGGACCATTGACACTGACGTAGACAACAGTAGATGAGCTACCTACACAGCCCATACAGCCATCTGGGCCTCTGATTGCCACACAGTCAGACCAAAGTTGCCAATGATGAGCTGTAAACACACAATAGTGATGAACCATTGACAATACTGAAGTAGACAACAGTAGATGAGCTGCTAACACAGCCCATACTGTCATCTGGGCCTCTGATTGCCACACAGTCAGACCAAAGTTGCCAATGATGAGCTGTAAACACACAATAGTGATGAACCATTGACAATACTGACGTAGACAACAGTAGAGGAGCTGCTAACACCGCCCATACTGCCATCTGGGCCTCTGATTGCCACACAGTCAGACCAAAGTTGCCAATGATGAGCTGTAAACACACAATAGATGCTTCAATTCACGAATTGAATTGAATTGAATAGTGATGAACCGTTGACAATACTGAAGTAGACAACAGTAGATGAGCTGCCCACACAGCCCATACAGCTGCTTGAGCCTCTGTTTGCCTCATGATCTTACCTAAGTTGCCATGAGAAGCTCTTAAACAATAATACAAAACAAAATAATATATCAGCCTCTTCTAAATTTTTTTTAGAAATATTATTAAAATGACAAAAAAAAACTTTTTATGTGACTTTATTACTTAAGCTGTACGTATGTTTGGTTTTAAGGATCAAGCAAAAAGGACTGAAAAAGAAATGTGTCCGTAGTTATTAGACGGTGAGTTATAGAGAGCCTGAAACTTAAATACTTTCTTATTAAATGACGACCATACAAAGTAGGTATTTTAAGCCAAGTATGAATGGAGATGAGTGTAGGATGAGTGGCGAGATCTTGTAGTCTTGTTAGTGACTAAGGCCGACATTCCTTAATATATAGTATAGTAATTAATAGTAATATATATAAAAATTTTAAATATAATTATACATTATATCTTATATCATACCGGTATCTCATACCATAATCAAATGTTGGATTGTACACAAAATCTGTTATGATTGGCATTCTGCTGTTCGATTTTATCGATTTCAGCAGGTGTTTAAATTTTAATCAGATTAAATTTTCTTTCACAGTGTTTTATATCCAAATTTCAAATGCTAAAAGATGACTATGTTTTTGTGAATGAAATTCAGAAACTTATTCTTTTTTTATTATAAGAAACAGTTAGTTGCAAAATTCATTTTACAGTATAGTTTTTCACAATGATATTCAGGTACCGGTAACATCGTCTTAGTTGTTGGAAATCATTCTCTTTTCAACCTGTAGGTATATAAAACCCTATTTGTACGGAAAACAAAGTCATGAAGGTTTTGTCAGTCACAGGAAAAATCTGATAGCCTACCTCTGCTTTTCACCATTGTGAACCTACCATATCAGGATCATTCCAGTGGCCAGGACCAGCGTACTGGGTGACATCCTTTCTATTAGCGTAGTAGTCCATGATGTCTCTCACACTGCCAGCCCCGACACCCCACGAGTCTTGTACATCTTCATACAGCCTCCACAAGTTGCAGTGTTCTACGATCGCTGCAAAGTTTATCTGAAAACATAAATAGGTTTGTTTATCATTGATAGTATAAAAAGCTATTATTTTTTACATTAAATATCACGTATGAGTACAAATAACTTTTTAATGCACTATGAATTGAGTCAAATGGAAGTGGAAAGTTAGCTGCACTTTCATAGCTTATAAATTGATTCTGGATGAAAAATCAACCACTAAAAAATCAGTACCGGTAGTTAATTCATTCCTACACGGTCTTAGCCTAGGATGCTTCAACGTTAACTAAATCAAATAGTTACCGGAACATTTTGCTCCCTTTGGTAATAAGGCCAGCTGCATGAGTACACCATCGGCCGGCCAGTTTTGTTTAAGTAACGGCCAAACTTTGGGTACCCTTCGTCCATCGTCCAGGGGTCGGAGTTGCAACCGTCTACTTTGACGTAGTCAACCTCCCATTCAGCAAAGGTATTTGCGTCAATCTCCATGTGGCCAAGCAGTCCTGGATACCCAGCACAAGTCTTCACCCCATAGTCCTGGTAAATGCCGAACTTCAAACCTTTGGAGTGGACCTGTGAAAAAAATTCTATAAAATGATTGTTGTTTATATAGAAAGAGTAAAGTTAGGGAAATATCTGCAACATTTCAAAGCACAACAATGTGCATAGCCTAAAAAAAGATGTAATATTTCATAACAAATAGGTTAGATTGTTGTTAGTAATTTATCATCTTACATAAAACAGTTAACAAAAAAAAAATTGATTAAGTTACTTTGTAAATTAATTGTTAAAAACAGTAGGCCTACTTGCAATGTATCTAGTATCTTTTTGAAATAATTCTGTACAGTCCCACAGTTGTAAGTCAAACTTTCAGTAGCCAAAACCTCTTCAACTAACTTATGATAATGTCATCAGCCTATCTGGAAGTGTTGAGTTTGTGTCACCCAGAGATATATCATGATATTATGTAGGCTAACTTAGTCTTAGAACTTAAAACATTAAGAATGATTTAGGTTAGGCTGTTAATAGGTAAGTAATATCTAATCCCCTCCTAAAAATGTTTGGTACAATGTAGTGGAGTGTGAGTAACCAACTTTAGTTCAACTTCCAAACACGACTTTTAAAATTCAGCCATAAACTTACGTAATTTGAAAGCGCATGCATTCCAGAGGGAAACCGGTCAGGATCTGGATGAAGTTTTCCAAGATCATCTCGGGAAGTCATCATCCAACAGTCGTCAATGATGACATACTTGTAGCCTAACTCAGCATAACCCTCAGACACCAGCAAATCTGTGGCATTTCGTATTAGCCACTCGCTGCAAACATATAGGATAAGTTTTTAATCTTGACCACTTTTAAATTGGTAAAAAAAGAACGTAAATGAACAGGTAAAAGTATAAAGCCCATTTTTAAGGGGGCCTTCTGCCTGAAGAGGAATTCCATAGAAAAAGATGTTAAAGCTTTATCAAGGGAAGAGCAATGATTCACCAAAAGACTTTGTTCACTCCACTCTTTCTAGATAAGTACAATATTTAGATTACCAGACTTACCTGATACACTCATAGGGGTAGAGTGTACAGTTGGTTGTACACCGATATCTCTGCCACGACATCCAACCCATGGGTGGCTTGAGGGCCAGACCATTATTGAGGCAGTTTGCTTGATCCAGGAACACCACAAAGCACACAAACAAGCAATGAAGCTTCATAACTCCAACCTGGGAATAAAAATAACTCTTTAAGCTACCGGTACATTCAAATAATCAGTGTGTAGGATCTTTTATCTCTAGGCTAAGGCCGGAGCCACACAGGGCGGATCATCTGTGCAACTTATCTTAGTGCGAAGATAAGCCACGCGGTCAGTGTCCTGGCCACACGGAGCGGATGAACCGCTTCCTGTTGGGTTTTCCCAGCCTACATGCTGTTGTAGAACATGGTTTAATTCACTTGTTAGTCATGGACGAAACACTTAGGCCTATAGGCCTATTAGTTTGTGCATTAGAAGCGTGTGGTGAGCTGTAACCAAAGATTAATAACAATCATTGGGTTCACCCCTTCATAACGAAAAAACCATTTGTATTTCAAACCTCTTACGAGCATATGCAAGACCAAAGTTCGGAGTTTTTTGGTTATTATCGTACGTCAATAGGATCGTTTGATTAGCTACTTGAATTGCGACCGCATAGGCTATAGGCTACACTCTTTAAGAAATAAAATAACCATAAAATAATTCAGCAATTTCAAGCCACACCTTTTTCTGGCAGCTCCTGTCCGAGTATTTGTTGAGCTTTTTTCCCACAAACATGGTTTGTCTTTAACCACTTCTATTAATTTGTCCGTATCAAACATTATACTGTAACTATAAACCAAAACGCACAAAACACAAACTCAAGAAAACAACTAAAAATGCCTGAAGATGAGCTCCAATCGCACGGACGATCCGTATGGTGTGGCCACTCCCATAAGACTGTGTGTGTCATCCCCTCCAACACTGCTTAATTTTGAGCGGATGAGCCATAACATGACAATCCGTCCAGGCGGCTTAACTTCACCTCGTGTGGCTACTCTCATTTGATTCAATGTGTTTTTCGAACACGCGGATTATCCGCGCGAATGATCCGCCTCGTGTGACCCTGGCCTAAATATGTAGGCTACAACTTAGGCAGCAAAATTCTTCCACCGATGCTGTACAGTTAGGCGGTAATGTATATAAGTCCCTTTTAAAAATCCATTTACAACTTGGCTAGACAGTAAAATTGGCAAGCAAATGTCGGTCTTTAAAAATGACAAAATCTTTCAAGGCTTAACTTAGTACTTTTTTTACCAAACTTGGAAAATATTGATTCAAGATAAGTTAGGTAAGTTAAAGATCAGTTAACACTTAAAGTGCCGTTGACATGTTTGAACATGAAAATTGCATTTATTTCAATGTTAAGCAATGGCGGGAATTCCCGTCATCAGCACCTAACGTGTTAAGGAGATGTTGGCGTTTAATGAAATAGCTATAGCCTAAATAAAGAAAGAACATCTCAGTAAATAAACATTAATTCAGACAATGTTGGGCAAAACATTTTATATCTGACTCCATTATCGATTGGTAAGTTAAGTTTGTTACACAATGGATAACTTAAGAATGTTTGATTTTGTTTGGTCTAAGTCTGACTCTTAAGTCATCAAAAAGCTAAACTTACTTGTATGTTTTTGATGGATGGAGTAGGCCTAAGATATCCAAGTTTTGCAATCTACACTGTCGTGCTATACTTAGTTCAAGCTAACTTAAACTAATTAAGTTAGACCCAAACCCAAGTAGGCTACTACTTAGCAGTTTTCAATTGAAAACAACATTAACCTACACTACAGATAATTTCCCAAATACAATTATAATTGCTTGCGGTACAACTGGTACAGGCACATCCGCACATCCAGTGCAAGGCGTATCCTAACTTCACAGTATATAGGATCATCAAAGAAGCCTATTCGGCGTTTAGCTTATTTTGCATAACCGGTTTTCTTCCAACAACTTGATTCATTCTCAGTAAACAATGACATTGGCTGAAACTAAGATAAAATAAGCCTATTTCACAAACAAAAATTTCCTATTAAAAACTAGTTTTTGTTAACTTAATATTTTTTGTTACTGTACAGTATATCTGCTGTTTGTATCGAAAAAGGTTAGTCCCTAAGTTTATTCACAACACGGCGACAAGTGGATGATGAATAAAATAATAAGGTCAAGGACGAAGAGGATGACACTAGACTAGGGCAGGACTAGAAACTAGAACTAAGTTAATACTAAACTAAAAACTAGTAAATTACTTGCTGGATGCCAGCCACCGAGCAGCCTAGCGGGCTAGGCTAGCCTGATGTTTGTTTTGATTAGATTTGAATTATAAACAAAACAAACATTCCAAATTTCAAAACAAGGATGTTGAGGCGCATGACCATGACACGTACAAGATGCGCCGTAGGTAGACTGACTGACTGAGACTGACTAGATTGAGCTGAGTGTCTGAGTGATTTAACAGGAACAGACTGAGGAGAGGAGAGGAGACTCGGCTGTCGGTTCGTCAGCTGATTGACTCGGAAGGGACTACAAGGGACTACTGTACTCACCCACGGCAATGAATACAAGTGGTTTGTATTCATTGCCCACGGCCACTTTTTACCCTTCCTGGGGCCCATTTCTTAATAAAGTACAAACGAATATTATTAGTAAATCAGCTGCTCGCCCAATGCAAATCTAATGGAAATTACAAGTTACAAGTTGTAACTTGTAACTTGTAGTTTATTATGAAATGGGCCCCTGCTGGGATAAATTTAATGAAGGGCTGGGGGAGGAGCTTAATTATGTTTTGCCAAAATTAAAAATAATGTGGTTGTGTTTTGTATTTATTTCACTTGAAATAATTCATGGATCATAACATGGTTTTACTTAGGGCTGAACTGAACTATTTTTTGTACAAAAGTTATGAAGGAAATAAAATTTGATTTGACTGATATATCCGTCTCTGGCCCACAAAAAAAAAAAAAAAAAAAAAAAAACATAAGGTGGACGGATATATCCGATGATAACAACATATGAACACTGCCAATAATCTTGAGTAGGTATTCTTGTGGGCGACATATTTTTCGTTAACCTTAGGCTATTCCTTCCCTTGTTTTATTTTTCATCCATAAAAATATATCTATCATTCTTAAGTAAATCTAAACCACTCAGCAGGGCCGTCTATAGGTGGGACAAGGGGGGCAAAGCCCCGGGGCTATATGGGCTCTGAAGGGGGCCCAGTCCGATCAAATATAAAATCTTTTTTGGACATGTAATCTGCTAATAGTAAAAATTGTAGCATGGTATTAGTAATTTTTGAATGAAATAAAGTTGCAACTGTGTTCACGATAATTAATGAAACTATCATGTATTTTTGATATGTATTGTTGTGTAACAAAACGGCACGGAGGCGGCTGGACTGGACGCTAATAGGGGGCCCGGGATCGCTCTGCCCGGGGGCCCTAGATGGCTCTCGCCGGCCCTGCCACTCAGTTCCGCTCCCATGTCTTCAATCCCATTCTCCGCCAAGACTTCCACTACGTAAATACTGTTCTTTAGGTTCATCATATCCATCACATTCCATACTATTATTTTCGCTGCCCCCCTCAGACATATACTTTTATTAAGCATCTCAATTCTCAATAACATCTTCAAATTTCAGATAGTTTGCATTAGTAACTTTAGCTAATAATAACATACATGAAGATGGAATTCCACTAAATTATTCTCTTAAAATTGTCAGATTTATTTCTTATTTAAATATCATTAATTTGATAACAATAGGTTTGCTGCTACAGGGAAGAAAATAGGGGTTTTTTATTTAAATATTGATAGCTTAGTACACTATGAAGTAATCATAATTTCAAAATTTCATTAAAATAAGTCCATAGACAAACAAGCTACAACAGTTTATTCATTCTCCTTAAGAATAACATGGTAATTTTAAATTTACACTTGATTTTTTCCGTAACCGTTGATACAAAACAGCTGATACAGCCTACTTCCGATGTTGCCACTTCGAAGGCCGCGGCCTGGAGTTAAAGGTGGCCGTGGACTACTACTATCACAGAATAAGGAATAACAGTTTTATTCCCAAGTCTGTGGTCTGGATCCTAGTTCACGTAAGTCGTCAATGCCATGTCTACTTGCAGTATCTGAAGTCGATGGTATATTTGGCTCACATAAATTACAAGCCTACTGTGTTTGTAGTATCCAAGGTCAATGGCACATAGGGTTCACGTAAATGGAATGTCTACTTGAAGTATCCAAAGTCAATGGTATTGGTATAATTGGTTCACATAAATTGAATGGCTATTTGGAGTAGCTAAAGTCAATGGTGCATTTAGCCTTATTCCAGCTACTCTAATTGTTTATTCATTTTGTAGTAAAATTATGCTCAACGATATTGATATTAATATTACAGTACTGCACTTCGATTGTTCTTCCCTTTTGTTCTGTATAGGATACACTTTTGTTCTCAATCATGAAAATCGTTAGAGGTAAAAGAGCCAAAGAACTCCGAAAAGAAAAATCAATTTCAACTCAGCCTACCTATAAGAAATACCTAGGGAGCAAAGTTTTGTTTACGTATAAGCATTGTATAAGCCAAAGAGTGGGACTTTAGATAATATAATGCTGAATATAATGCTCATGCTTGATGTGAAATCTGTGCCTACATAGCTTCAATTTGAGACCTCAATCATGAAAATCGGTCAGGTAGAAGAGCCAAACGAACTCGGAAAAAAAACAAAATTTTGTTAATATAAGATAAAAGTATTCTTTCCCCGACAGAACAACTAATTATTATTGAGATTGATTTTTGGCAATCAGGAGATCTGTGGACCTGTCACACATCACTCAATGGTTATACGCTAAGACAAAGAAGTCAACGACATCATAGGAACACAAACATAAAGCCGCAAATAGGTTTTAAAACAGAGAAATTTAATATTTTAATGGTTTTAAAATGTTTACTTTGGTACTTTATTGCTTTCTTTTTTATCCACCAATCAAATTTGGATTGTTGAATCTCTAAATACTATGTGAAGAACAGCAAACCACTCTATTTAATTCCTGGATATTGTAAATAGTAAAGTATTTCTCCGAGGATTCATAACTAATAGGTAATTATCTGACAAATATATTCGTGGAATTCTTTTTATTTACACTAAAAATACAGAAAAAGAACGAGGTACAGAAAAAGGCAATGTTTTCTACATTATTTATAATCTTCCATTGATAGTAACAACTGGACTGTTTTGAGCATTCAGTAAAACATAACAATAATACAAAATGATATATCACAATTTACAAGCGTGAGAACACAATGGCAAGATGTACCAACAAATGGTAAAATTATACATGTAATACTGTATTTACAAAAGTAGATTAGACAACTGGCACACAACCTTTTTTTACCTTTAAGTTACAACATACTAAATTTTTAACCATCCCTTGAACTTTATTAGAAATTGTTTTTTAAACCAATCTGTATGAGGTTTTGTCCATCATGAACTAAGTTATCACAAACTAATATGACAAATATATATTCCAAAAGTTGAATTGTATGAAGTAGAAACTGGCTACACCAAAAGTTGTTCTCTGATTATTCTAAAAGAATGAAAAACATAATTGTTTTCAAATCAATTAAAACAAAAACTGTAAAAAAGTTACCAAGAATAAATTGTTATTAGAAGTATTAGATCATATGAAAAAGGCTTTACTGTAACTGGATTATAAAAATAATTTAAATTGATTCCATACACAAAGTGCTAAATTTATTTAAAACTAAACTATTGAAAAAAATTTTACAATGGAACATTTTGAACTATATTATAAATAAGGAGATACACTTAGAAATTTAAAAAAATTAAACATCACTCCATTAACACAAACAAGTTTTTTGAACACAAATTATTAAAATTACTTTATACTACCTTAAAACAAAGCAAAATTAGTGTTATTAAAAGAAAAAAAACCTTGCAAGATTTTATATTTTATTCTTTTATTTTGGGTGACTTTGTAAAACGTTCAGTGGTTTGTGGATTTAATCTTTAGGTATTATTATTACCTTACATTAAATATAATAGACAGTAGTTCTACACTGTAAATAATTTATTTTAAAATGTCAAGAAATAAAATAATTTACAGACAATTTAAAATAAAATAAATTGTTATTCATTTTTATTTATTTGTGGTTTTTAAAGAATTGTGTTGAGGGAAGGTATAGTGGGATGTAAGAGACACTGTGTAGGAAAATCTAATGTAAAATTAGTCATATTTGTTTATAACATTCTAATCTAAGTATAAAGAACCCATTAGAAGATCCACCCTTATTGTTTCATTCTTTACTGTCAGCAGAAGTAAAATACTTTAATAAGAGCCAATAAAACATTATTGGCACATTTCATGGCACAATGAAGATAGTATTGTTCACACAGTTACAATTAATTCATTGTTTCAAAAACATGTGTATACAGTAAACCCTAGCCACAAAAATATTCTTTGCCATTTCATGTGTTAAAAGATTCATACAAATAAACAATATAATATTAAACTAGTTTGAGAGTATTGTGGTGACAAATAATGTTATTGCACACATAAATACAAGTAAAGGACAATATACTAATATTTATAAAATCTTGGATGTTTTAAAGTTTGATTTAAAAAATGCATTGACCTTCAAATACCAATCTTTGGCACATAACTCTTAAATGTTAAATATAAATACAAATATTAAAATTGCTATGTCAGAATACAAATATAGTATACAAAGTCTGAGATCTAAAAGTTCTTCAAAAATTCACAATCAAAATTGCTTGTTGATTTTTAGTTTGATATTTTCTCCAGTAGCCCTACCTAGACAGTATTCAGAAATAAAGTAGTACTTTTCTTAAAGGTTTTAACACATTTGATATTATAAACTTTGAAAATGAACTTTAAAAATGCAATGTAATTAATTTACAGATAAATACATTTATAATATTCAGTTTACTTATTAAACTATACCACATCATTTTAACAATACAAACTAGATTTTCAAACATCTTAAATGTATCCTTAAAACTTTTTCGGGGCAAAAGTGTTAAACAATTAGGGGATAAATTAATTTAATAGATTTGAAATTCCACTACACAAACCGATATAATTATATAATACTAATATAAATCTATGACACACTAAACATTTACCTAAGTACTTTTTGTACATAATACTTTATACATGGTACAACTATACACAAAATACAAACAAATTGTAGGAAAAGTCCACAAATATCTTAATGAGTATTGAAGCAGGTAAATCGTAAAATTTACATTGACTAATATAGTCATGATTAGTTTATTGACAAAAATCCTCATTCCCTAAATATTTTGTCACTTTATCATGGCAGTGACTTGAATTTCATAATCTTTACAAAACTTCATTTACATTGTGTTTGTTTTAAAACACAGTCGCCTTCCTCCATCAAGTCTTAACTTATTAATTTGTACAAACACATAGTTTGTTTTTATAGTTATTTACAAAGTAACAACATTAATCTATGGCACATAGTTTGTCATTTCTTCTCATTGTTAAAGGGGAATATAGCTCATAGTACACAGTATAGTAACTTCAGCATCTCAATGCTCCCTTTTTGAATATCTACATATTTGAATAAAATAGAAAATTTGTTTAAGGAAACATTTTAATAAATACTAAATTAATTGCAAAGTATTTGTCTCTAATTATTTTTTGTACTTCTCTATGAAACCTTTTCATAACCAGCACAGGTATAGCACTCTAGTTGATATGATTTATATAAAGATTGGAGGAAAAAATGACTCATACGACTGGATGCTTTGGGAAAAACTCTAGTTGAAATAATATTTTGATTAATTTCTTTTGATTTTATCTACAAGCTTTAAAACTTCAAAATGATCCTGGGTGTCATTTTCAACATTTAAGTTTTAAACTGTAAAAAAAAAAATGGTTGCTGAAGATTTTGCACACTACAATATTTCCCCGAACTCCTAATAAACTTTTTTGACATATTGAACTGAAGAATCAATTCACTTTATAGTCCTCAACCTATATTGAATTTGCTGCATGTCAAATTTTGAGCAAAATACATTGCATTTAATGTTAAAATTATACTGTTATGTAAGTTAACCCATAGTTGAACTTAAATAACACTCAAGTAACTTTATATAGGACTTAGATAAACAACTTTAAGATTCCGTAGGTTGTTAAAGCCACGTTCATCAAAATTTCTGTCGATTACCCAAATAAAATTTGATAGTACTGTAAATCATGATTTTGGTTTGATTCCTAATTCTAAGTAACCAGTCATATCCCTGAAGTTTCTTGCTTGATGCAACTCTGTTGGATCCGCAGCTAGCCTTCGACCTGTCAGTTGTAGGGCCAGGAGTGCCGAATGGCCGTGATAGGGGTGGGAGCAGGCGGAGGGGCCTCAGGGGCCCGTCGGAACCAGCCTCACTTTTTCATCTCAGACCCCAAGTCTTTAGGCTTGGTATCTGACAGTACAGGACCTCCTTGTTGAGAAGACGTCACTGAAAGACTGTTGCCAGATGGGTAAACCTTCTCCAAGTGTTTCAGCGACTCTGAGAGAAAGTTCTAAAAGAAAAGAATCTTATTAATAAACTTCAAAAAAAGATTAGGTTAGAAAATTTGAGACATCGAGTTACTTATCTAATTTGGTTTGGTTGAATTCTGCAATATTAAAGTTTTCCGAACACTATTGTCATTTTAAAACTTTTTTTGTAAGAGAACAATCTAAACCCTGGTTTTGTTGCTATCAAGTCATCATTTTGTTGGATATCATCTTTATTAGATAGCTGACTAGATAGCTAAATCATCAATTCTCAAATCACCACACCAATAGATTTTAGTTTAGAGTGTACTTTATAATGTTTGTGCATGGTATAAGGGTTTGTGTATTTAGTTCCCTAGTATACTATTTCCCATACAAATACCCCAGGCTCTCCTAACAAAAATTCATTCAAAAATTTAGAGTCATGATTTTTTCTGAGAAGAACATTTTTCAATACAAATAATTCAAAACTTTTAGTAGGTACTATATTAACTGTGGAATTGTCTTGGTAGTCCTTCTTTTAATCTGCTCAATGTTCCCTTGATTTTCTGTTCCAGCTTAAACTCCTTGACTGAAATTTCTGATTGCTGATTGCTGGATATTATTTTCTTTACAATATGAAGATCACACTCTAACATATGGTTTACCTGTATAGCAGTGAGGGCTGCTACGATGGCTGGACTACCGAAGCCGTGCGAGATGAGTGAGAAATGAGTGAGATGTCGTTGTATGCTCGGCTCCAGGATATGCTGTGGCCGAGTGTTACAGAGCGGAGATCTGTCTTGGTTGAGAAGATCCATCAACTCCTTAGTTACTTGTCTGAAAATAAATTATAGCTTTATCAATTTTGTATGTAGTTGAGACAGATTAATTTTTAAAGTTGGAATTGTGTAATTGAAAACACCTCAAATATTTGTGAATAAGCCAGGAATCATATCCATTCCTTCCGCTCTAGGCTAGCAATACTGCCTTAATACAACATTAAATAAGCTACGAGACGAGGTAAACTTAAATATCATGGATGCATTTACGCATCCAAGTGGGTAAAGAACTGGAAACCATACACACATTTCAGTAAAACTTTTGTAAATATTTCAAACTTAGAGTAAATATTTTTTGTTAGTCTCACTTGGTAGCGTGGATGAGTTCCTTCCGCCTGTATGTCTCTGTTGGATCGTTCGTGTGTTGGCGACAAAGGTATTCAGCTACTTGTCTGGCAGGAAACTCTGTCTCGCAGACATAGCCAAAGTCTCTGGCCAAGTGTATCGCCTCACCTGAAAAAAGGTAGATATTAGAGACAAAGAACAGCATTAGATACATTGATACATATGCTTTTATAGCTTTAACAGCACAATTCACTGTGAAACATGCATAGGCCTCCCTCAACACAAAATCAATGTTGTAGCATAAATTTGATTAGTAGTACAAAGTTTCTTCCCAAATTTTTGCAAAGCACAAAGTTAATGACTTTTTTGCTATACTCAGAGTTTTATACATTCTTTATGAGAAAAGGTTCATTATATCATAAATGTATAATTTTGTCAATCTGAACAATTGCAGTGCGTTCAAACAGCCGTGGCACCTGACCGCACCTGACGGATTAGGAGACCCCATGGAAACTCTTGGGGTCTCCTAATCCCTCAGGTGCCACGGCTGTTTGAACGCACTGTATACATTTTCATCGATTTAGAATGAGTAACATTCTGTGTTAAAACCTCAAACCCCTAAGCCTTCAAGCATAACTTCTTTGATTGGAAAGTGAAGAAAAGATCAAAACCGACAATGGCAAAAGTCTCTTGAGGGTTGGAGTTTGAGTACTTTGCTGTTACACACACTCTGATACTTCAAGATCAAAATAACCTCAAAATTCGGTTTGCCTAAAAAGCACGAACCTCGATAAGAGGTATCTTTAAGGAAGAATAAGCATTGTTCCCTAGACAAGTTTTTTAGAGGTTTTACTAAATGGATGTCTTTCTCGGCAACCAGCCACATTTTTGCTATATTCAGGAACCTAACTGACAGGACAACTCCTCTATTTCATCATGAGTTCCCCGTGGGTATAGACCCCATTGCAGTACTGAGGCTAATCTACGACTCTCTTCAGCCTCCGCTACAACTACTGATCCCAAATCAAGAAGGCATTGGTCGCGAAATCTCTTCGGTGCCTGCAAGACTGGCCATTCATGCTTGTTGCTTCTTGATTGCAAACACATTGTTGTATTTTAATCCAGATACAGAATGGCGATAGGTGGCGGATCGGTTGCGTAACACTGTACACAACAGACGCTTTGTTTATCATGTGACAATAGATCCGGTAGCTCTTTGTGCCTTTTGTACCGGCGCCACCTTCTACTGAGGGAGTTATTAAAAATCTAGACAACGGCTGATTAATTTACAACAGCCAATGGAGATAAAAAGATGAGTGGAGAAAATGAATAAATGGTATTTTGATTGCGTTCTCATTGTGGGTCGGCAGCGGTTTTGTTTTTGACGAGCCCCGGGCTCAGTGACCCAGCATCGGACATGGCTTGACTTGCGCTTCTGGGGGAGCCGCCAGAGGGACGTTTCGTACCAAGGCAAGTGTCAATGGTCTATGGGGCTTTAGAGTTAAATATTTATATGTCAAAAAGATTTCATGGTAATTTGTACCATTAACTTTGAACAGTGCAAGTAGTAGTCTATTAACCTATTGTACAATCATAAGCCTGTATTAATATTTCGTGTTAGTGAAATTTAAGTGCTCTTATAGACTAACAAATTTAACACACACACATACACACTGTCACATTTGTGCTTTAGCCATTTGGTTGCAATTCCAGAGGACAAAGATGTTTATAACTAGATTATTTTATTTGGATTTTTTTTATACGTAAAAGAAATAATCTAAACAGCAAAATGCCCTTCGTAATGAACTATCAAAGACAGAGACAAATATAACAAAGTTTTAAACTAATACTCGAGTTAACCAGATGTATTACTGTAATAACTACCCAGATTATTTTCATGCCCAGTTTGACACAACCAGTTAGCAGAAGCAATAAATATGTAAAATGCGAGAAATGTCCATTCATGAGACTGAATTGAATTGCCAACGCCGTTATCCAATTCATCAACGTATCTTTAGAAGCAAAAAAGGCAATCATAAAAACACGCAAGGGCAAAAAATACGCAAGTAGAATTTCATCGCGACCGGTCTCGGCTCGTTAAGGCGAATCAAAACCCGGGAAACTGCTGTAATTGTGGAGGGGCCGTTTTAGAAATTAATTAAATTCTAAATTACAAGGTGATTTAAACCAGTTGGGGCCGAAGTAGCGTCCGTTAGACAAGATCGGGTCGCTGGACATCGCGGTGGCTGTGGACTGACTGCGACGAAATCGTAAAGGCTGAGGTTTTAACATATTGTTGAATTAAGAAAATATGAAATCTGGAAGGCCGTAGACGTATTACGATTTTTACAAACTGATGTTTCAAAGTACAAAACTACTTTGTATTGGCTAACATTTTACCTATGGATTAGATTAAAATTATACGACGCTAATAACCTAACAGCGTATTTAAGGTGAAGTACAGTGGAGGAAAAGTGTTAAATGAATGAAGTTTCTTTAGGCTATTCATGGCCATTTCTTAAGTCAGGGTCTTAAAAAACAAGGGCTAAGGGCAGCTGGGGCCGATTTCGAACCATCAAATGGATTTATACTGTGCAGAGGCATATACATCTGAGAAGGGTAACAAGGGCTGAAAGACTTAAGGGGCGTAAGAGAATATATAATTCTTTTTTATTGAAACCCATCCCGTGATTTATAAACATTTCATTTATGAATATCACACAATAAAAACGAGAAACTCACACACCAACAAAAATTCAAACCCATCGTCGACTTTTGGTACTAAATTATTCATCCCATCTATATGGACCAGCTGGAGCAAATTATTTATTCAAACAGAAAAACGTTGAGTGTGACTCACAGAGTGTGGTATTGCAGTTGAAATTGTATTTTCTGACATGTTCAATACTATGCTAGGTGGACAATGTGGCATAAAATATGCTATAGTCTGCAACAAGTTGTTCTTTCAGTGTAGTTTTGTTAAAAGTCGAATCAACTCTCATATCACACCATTGAGAAACGTCCACCACAAAAAGTGCAGTACCAATTATCGAAACAACTTCGAACCAGAACCGTACACGAGATAAAATCCACAAATCACATCTGCGGACGATCTAACTCACCGAAATTATTTACCGCCGAAATAAAAACGTCATCCAGCGTAGTGGTTAGACCTAAGCCCAATCCTTTTCGAGGTCCAAGGGGCAATTAAAACGGCAGAACAGTTCTAATAATTAGAGTGAGTTCGGTAGCTGGGTCTACGGGTGCAAACGGCTTCCATTTGTCTACCGTCGGACAAGCGGTAGAGGCGGACAGACCGCGCCTGACGAATACGAACCTCACAGGTAATGAAGTAGAAAACAAATTAGTCAACAGTAAATTATACATCTTTCATATTTGTTTGTTGTGTTTGCCTTTGTGTTTGGATTAGAAGTTTGCGTTTTCAATCGTTAGTGTTACAGCGATTGATATAAAGTGCACGCCTATTGGCTTAAAAATGAAATTGTGTATTAATTTATCAACAAGTAATTCATATATTGCTTGCGTAAGGGGTTATTTCTGTATTAATGAGTATTAATCACGATTACTAGAAAAAATGATTGATTCTACCCAAACCTTGAGAGATCGAACATCAATTACTTTTGTGCCATACATTTCCAGTTCCACAATGACAAAACGATAATTTAAGCTATTTAGGTTTTGGCGTTGAATTTAGGTATTTGGATTGATCGATGGTAAACTTACCATACGAGGATCCCACTTTTTACGCATCATACAAGTTACAAGATATTTGTTTTAGGATGACTTTATCTATAAACGCTACGAATAAAAGAGGAGTTTACGCATTCACCACAATAAGTGTAACAATACTACATTTATTGTGTCGTGATCAATAATCATGTAAATCATTACAAGTGTAATGTAAAGGGATATTTCCTTAATGGAAAATTGTTTTTATAACTGGTAATTTTGTTGAAAAAGTGAGCTTAAAAATCCAAATACATATAAAAAAACACTGTAAAGAATTAATGAAGAAAAAAAGAAATGACCGAGTTATATATACTTGATATTAACAATTGAGGCCCACCATTTTAAGTTAAAATTTACGTAAAAGATGTATTATTGTGGAACAATGTAGGCTATTCTGTAAAATTGAACCTCTACTGAGAAAGATTTGTTGAGATGTTTTCCGTCATAAAATGTGCAGCAACAAATCAGAAACATGAAATTTCGCGGTTCTGAGACCTTGAATGAGGTTTCTCAACCTTCTTGCTTTGCTTGAGACATGACTTGAGACATAAGGTAGTCGGGGCTGTAAGACAGGCTACAATTTCATCCTCTTTTCTCAACTGTCCGCCCCTCGCTTACCGGCTACTGGACTCTCGACTACTGGACATTTGAACTTCATCCCATTCCCAACTTCTGAAGACTGCCCGCTCCAGTCATTACCTCTTCCTAACAAGTTATTTATCTTGAGGAATAACTTAACTTGTGTGGAAGACTGTTCAAAAATTAGTTTGTTTGTCTTTTGGAATTTGAAGTTCAAAGATGTTCTTCGGTGTCAAGAATGGTGAAGAACTACGGTTTACTTTTGGACAAAAAGATAACGAATTACAAGTAATTTTGAAATATACTGCTTTTGAAAAGAGTTCAGTATTCACTATAGATTACGATGAACATCTCAAAAGTCAATGATACAACAAATTTCACATTTTGGAACAGAGGTGTAGATCTCAACGGTGGAATATGTTCATATGAGTTAGAAGATGCAGGTAAAATAGGGGAATCAAAATGTTACCAATCACCTGATAGATAAAAATAAAAATCGAAAGACTGGAAAGCCGAAGAACAATTACAAAATGCATAATTTAAGACAACTTCTACCAATGTGGCAAAGATATCCATCATCCATTTTCAATATCATCTAAGATGCGACCTTCTCACTCGAACTCTCTAGAGGGCTATCATGACCGCTTTCTCGGAAGATGGTCTTCAGGAAATGCTCTTCACAACAAAGACCATGGTTGTACCCCGGAGCCGCGTGCAGTTGAATGGATGCAATCACCCGCTCGTGACTTGAACACGGTAATATACCCGAGACCCGGCTGTCCGCACCGCATCGACGGTCAATGAAGATCGATTTGTACCATTCATCCTGCAGAATCGAT